GATTACTTATTGAAGAGATTAGTGAACAGTTGATTAAAATTTCTTTTTAATATATAATATTTATATAATTTAGATTAGAATTACATCAATTTGTCATTATTTATTACTTTATTATTATTTATTTACAAAAAATTAATTCCACACAAAATTGTATCATAATAAAATTTTTTTTAAATAAATTTTTTTTTTATTAAATAACATTTACTGTAATTAAATTAAATACATTGAAATAAAATATTAAATAATTGTAACATTAGTGTTCAAAAATTTTTCAAAGGCTATAGAATAAGCTTGCTCTGCCTTTGGTAATACTTGCTTATCTTTTCGAAATACATCTAATATATTATCTTTATTTTTTATTCTTTGATTTTGTAGACTATCTTCGTTAGCTTCAATTATTTCTTGAAAATTTAACTTTGATTTCGATTTATTTAATTTGCTTAATCATGAAAGTAGAGAAGAGACATTATTATTTATACCTAATTTGAGAAAATTTTCACAATGATAATATTTTTCATTCAATAAAATGAAACAGCTCTCATGGTATCCATAACCATATGCAATAACTACGGAGCTGTTACTTGTCCCATCATATAATAATCTATAACAATGATCACATTTGTCAGATAATTGCAAATGCTTGCTGCTGAACCCTAACAGTATTTGTTTTTTGTCTATGATAATATCTAGCGATGCTAGTTTGTAGGTAATTTTCTTTCTCAGACCTTTAATGATAGAACTTTGGCCTAACCTTTGGTAAATTTTACTAAAGATTTCAAGAAGAAATACTTGTGCTTTCTTTGTTAATAAATTCATATTATCCTTATCTGCATATGTAGACTTCTTCTGAACAATAAATGTATCTTCAAATACGTTAATAGCTCTTCTAGCATTAATGACCTTGGCAATCTTGGAAAGTTGTTGTGATATATCAGTGGAAAAGCTTTGCTGTCATATTATGCTATGCATATTCTCAACAGGATAGTCTGTAAATTTAACTAAATAATCTTTTAGTACATTTAATATTGGATGATCATTTGACTCTAATAAAATATATCTGAAAAAAATACTAAGGGTGCTTTATTATAATTACGCCTTTCAAACTACAAAAAAATACACCATACTCAAAATACGCCTTCAATATATGATTCCCAATCTCTGGATCAAAATAAAGTCAAATATATATCTAATCTGACTGGTACTATATTGTCTAATAATTCAAATAGAACAAAAATTTAATATCTTTACAATATTTACTAAATTTACCTGTCACTATCGGCTTTATTTCTTTCTAAGTACTTCTCACTAGTTCCAAAAACACAAATATTCGATACGGGCTTGGTGTTTTGCTTAGTGCTTTACTCGTACTAAACATATATTGGTACTCCATATTGAAGAAATCCCAATAGATCTTTAATATAGATTTGAGTAAATTAAGCTGAATATGAAGAACTCAAATAATCAGAACAAAAGATAATATATTATCTGGTATATTATCTACATGGTTTAATAGACGAAGAGTAATAGCTTGTTGTATAAAAACCTGCTCAGGCTAATCAGCTACAATTAAAATAACATTATTAGTTAAATAATTAGTTAATAAAGAAGTTTCATGAACTTTTTGCAAAGCAAAAATATATGAATTAATTTCTTTAAGACTTAATTCAAAAAAATCCAAAAGTATTATGTCCTTCATTTTATACTCTTCCTGATGTTTTTGTATATGAGAATCATATTTCAAAAAGTTATATTTTCAAGCTTCTCGTCCCAAAGTATCTCATAGTAAAACTAGTCATTAAATATTTTGGCTATACGTTTTATATAAACACTATCTAAAAAATTGCAAATAAGGTTAAAATCAATCAAATTTGAATTGTGAATTGATATACCACCTGTTGTGACTTAAGGGATAGCTATTGAATCAACACCATTTAGCAACAAGGTAGTCATATGTGCTATATTTGATATTGAACATATATTCAGTATTCACTTGGTATGAATATTATGATAATCATCAATGTTAAGAACCAACGCATTATTCTTTTTAGCTTCTAAATATGAAGCAACTCTATACAGATGATTATCAGCAATGGCTGTCTTTTCTCTATTTAGATGCCTTCGTGAAATCATTAAATCAGCATATAATAAGGCATTTATAGCTTCTGCAGAAACTCTCATTAAATCTACAAAAAGAGAAATATCTTTTTTAAAAGCTGTTAAATTAGAATTCTGATTTCTACAAATAATATAATATTCTACAGCTAATTTTTTGTCTAATTTAATTAAATACTTATCACTTCTATTTTTGAGAAGTGATGCATTATAAATTGAATCAAAGAAACCACTTAGCCTGAAATCTTTAGCTACTATCTTTCTTCGCAGCTGTTTAAAGCTGTAAATAATTGGTTCCTCCTCATTCTTCTTTCAATCGTATAAAAGCTTTGTCAAGATATTAATGCTATCTACTCATGAAAGATTATCATCACTTGCTACTAATTCATCCTTCAAATTCCAAAGTAGTATAGACATATACTGATTCCAGCACATTAAATAACACTGGTATGCCAAAGACCGTTCAAGAGCCCTTCATTTAAACTCTTTTTTTTTTTCTAGACAAGCTATTTCTTCAATTTCATTAAAGAAGAAACCTAATTAATCGTTCTTGTCTATAGCAGAAGCTTTAAGTTAAGAGAATATAACAATGAGCAGATCGTTACTTATAACTTCTCTCTCAAAAATAAAATTAGTTAGTAACGAAATAGACTCAGACATAAAAAGATTATCATTACAATGCCTTTTTAAACCTCTTGCCCATTCAGCTATATGTTCTACATAAGTACTTGCTCTATTTATAATAATCGCATTGTAATAGTTTAAACACATATATTAATCCTTATGATCTTTGTAATATGAAGCCAAGGTTCTGTTAAATTCTGCCTTATTTAACATGTTGTTAGTTATTTTTTTCTACTTTAAGGCTAGAACTTGCTTGCAGATCTTCACAATATACTTCTTAGCTGAATCTTGAGTTGAATTGCTGTCCATTTCCTATAAAACTTGCTACTAGTAAAACTTTTTAATTTTTGGGATTATTTGAGATTAATTTTAATAATATTTAGGTTATTCAAAGACTTTTTACTCTCTTTCTTTTTAGAGTGGGTTTATTTGGTAAGTTTCGAGAAACTGCAAGAATAAAAAGTACTTTAACCCATATAAAAAATCAAAAAATTTTTTTTATTAAATTGGCTAAGCCACAATATCGATTACTCAAATTCAAACTTGTTCACCATGCTACAATTCAACAACTTAACTTTAAATATGAGTTTGATATTCTACTACTTTCTTCTTCTGCAATACAACTTGCCAACTAGGTTAATATTTCTAAACTGTACTGGAAAACTCTATTTTATGCTTGTAATCTTGAAAACAACAAAGCAACTTATGAGCAAATTTATGAAGCTTTGAACAAACGTTGTAAAAATATTTAAACAAATCCAACCAAAATAATTAATAGCATACTTAATAGATACAAAGATCCTGTTAGATTCGATAATATCAAAACTAATAATATTCTTATTACAGAACCAGAGTCTATTAAACAAACAATCCAAAATCTTTTTTATAATTAGACAGCTCCTCGACTAATTAATTTTAATATTTTTAATACTAACTAGACTACAGAATATACTTCTGTTACAAGTAGTATAGCCTTCTTAATATATCCCAAGTAACATAAGACATAGAAGAGAGACTCCTAATAGTGTCAAAGTGGAATGTTACTTCACTGTAGTAGTTCATTAGAGAAGTTTATTTTTAAAGCCAAAAGATTATATTTATTAAAGAACTAATAGAGAACTTAGAACTTTATTGAGTAATAGAAGATTGTAAAGAACAAATCTAATTTGAAGCAAGGAGAAAAGGTAGGGTTTATATAGCTTTTTAGAAAAGTAAGAAAAGTAAAAAAAGTAAAAAAAGTAATTTATTCTAATGTTGTTTCTAAGATAACTTAATAACTACATATCTTACAGATATAAAATATAGCTCATTTGAAAGATCTAATTGAGCTGAATCTAATAGTAAAATCTAAATCTAATTTTAGCTAATAAGTTATTAAGAAAAATCATGATAGCTAAATCTAAATAAATATAATAATATAAAAATATAATAATTAAGAAATATGCTAAAACCTATTTTATAACACTCCCAAAACTAATATTTAACTAAACTAGTATTCAGATATCCTTCAACTAATACTATCTATGAAGTTCAACAAATAATTTCTCAGCTTTTAAATAGCAAAGCCTGTAGACTATCAGGAATTAGCTATGAAATGTTCAAACATGCAGGCACTCTATTTCTACAACTTATTACTAAACTTCTAAACTAGTGCTTAATATAACAACAAATCTCCAAATAATAGAAAGATAGTCATATCTTTCTAATATCTAAAAAACTATCTTTTGATGGAAATCTATCAAACACAAGACCAATTAGCTTAATTGAACATATCAAAAAACTTTATATCAAACTATTAACTAATTGACTAAATCATAATTTAACAAAATATAATATATTATCTCTTTTTAATTATATTACATTATCTAGTAATAGCACTAATTTTTTTTTTTTCCGCAATCATGCTAATACTTTATTTAATCAGTAATTTTAATCTATGACTAAAATATTTCTATCTAGTGACTATTGCTAAGTATTAACTCACTCAGTTACTATTATAGTACCTAAGTACGATCTGCTATAGTGACCTTTGACCTCTTTACTTTCAGACTCCTAGAAAGAGTACCTAAAAGTACCTCGAAGGAAGGATGCTACAGCCTATCTGGTAATAGCATTAATATACCTATTAATATTCTTAATAATATTATAGAGGATGCAGCATGCAATAAAAAAGAACTTTAGCTCTTATCTCAGAATATGAGCAAGGTATATGCTCAGTTAATTTTGATTTCTTCAAACTAGCTCTTCAAAGAATCTAACTTCCAAAACCTTTTATTAATATCCTAATTAACTTCCTCCTTGACAGAGCAAACAAAGTTATTACTAACTTTGGAATTACAAACTCATATCAGGTTCAAAATAGTATTGATTAAAGAGAAACAATAATATCACTCTTTTGGTGAATTTATTATAATCTTCTCATAATAAAAGTTGCTAAAGAAATAAAAGGCTATCAGATATCTACAACATAGTCTGAAAACATACGACAAACTAAGCCAAATGAAACTTATGCTAATACATCAGTCTTAGTTTATATGGATGATATATTGTAGGTTACAAAGTCTAAACTACAACTTACTAAAATAATTAATATTGCTACTTCTTTCTTCTAGATAGCAAATATCTAAGTCAATTCTAACAAATCTATTCTAGTCTCTAATACTGTAGACCTCTATAGTATTCAATTCATTGACTCCTCTATTATATCAATCTCAATAAAAATACTATTTAAATTTCTTAGTTATTAGTTTATACTAAATAATAACTAAAAAGCTCAAATAAATCTAATATCAAAAGAGGCCTCCTCCCTTGCTGATATCATAAATACAAAAAACATTACAGACAAACAAGCTAGCTATATTATTAACAAAGTTATCATCTCAACTCTGGAATATTGAATACAAAATATTGTTATTCCTTTGACAACATGCCAAAAAATCTTGTCAAAATATCTTATAGTTGCTAAATATAAAGCAAGTCATTCTAAAACATTCCCAAATAGCACTATGCTTAATCATAATATTTATAGTATTAAAAATATTTGAGATATCCAACTATAGCACCATATTACTAACTTTCTTTCATAACTTAATAATTCTGATTTATTAAGATTATCTACTCAAATACGAGTTTAACAATTCCAAAACAACTTATAGTCTACTACAAATCTCTTCCAATACCCAAACCCATTGATCAATAGGCCTAACAAATATACAACTACTTGCAAAATTATCAAACTTCTCAATCTATTAAATTTAGTTGTTACTGCTAATTATAATTATCAATGGCCAAAAACTTACCAACACAATGCATATCTACTAGAAAATATACTTAGCAAATACACACTATATCCAATATTTAAACAACAACTTCACAAAAAGAAACTTATCTACTTAGACTAACTTACAACTTCTGAAAATAATACTCTTCTTAAGTAGCAACATATCTCTTCTCAAGTCTTTCACCTGCCTAAAAGAAAACAGCCCTTATAGTTTTCTCTCTTAGAAAAAATAATCACAACAAACTCATATACTAGAGAAATTATAGAATCAATAGCTTTAAATTCTCCTAATCCTTTTCCATTAAGTATAGGTCATTTTAAAGCCAGAAAACTATGGATTCTATCAACTACAAATGATCAAATTATTTTAGGAAAAGCTTGTAAATTCTTTTCTAACAACAATTCAATATCAATAGCTCACTAGAGTATTGACTACAATTCTAGCCATATAGCCTACTATCCTAACTCACAAATCAACTGTACCCTTTGTCCGAGTTGTAGCCTAAACTCTAACTATATTACAAATCTATATACTATTGATATATCAGCTACACATAGTACTAAAGTCTAGACTAGGTCTCTTACAAATAACTCTTCTAACAACTAAAGCTCAATGCTAACATAACAGATCTAATTTATAATCTAGCAATTAGATACCTATTAACTATTCCACTTCTTTCAAGTATCAACTTGGAAAACAACTATACAACTAAAATATTCAAACTGAATGAAACCTCTAAATCCTTATACAATATAGCCCTAAAAAATTTTGACTAACAAGAGTTCATATTTTATACTAATAGTTCAGTACAAAACATATGCACAGACCAATACTCTATGAGAATTGGCTGAGTTTAAATTATCAACAACCAATTGTTCAAACCTTTGCAGTACAAATTAAAACATAGCCTTCATTATACAAAGCAGAACTTATTGCAATACCTTCAGCTATAAGTACTACACCAAAAAACTGTTGTATACAAATTTTTACTAACTCATAATCAGTAATATCTAAGTTCAACAAAGCTCAACAACAAACAAAAAACTATAATATGAAAACAAAATATAATTACTGGCAAATTTGGGAAAC